GGTTTGACCCCTAATTCCACAAACTCAATTTTTCAGAAGAAGATAATGCTAGGTTGTTTGAAAGCAGTAATGAAATCAATCTGACTTGGTCTCTATGAGTGATAATTTAGGATAGATTTGAAAATTCATAAGAAATCTGCAGCTTCTGTTTACGACAGCATATTAGGGCCACTTTGCCGATGAAAAAAACAGGAGCAAATCTCTGAGAAAAAACTCGGAATTTCTGAGATTATTTTAAGAAATTTTCGAGAAAAAACAGGCAATTCTCTTATTTTGTGAAGTTGCAAATTTGCGAGAAAAAACTCAGAAATTTCCGTAATTATCGGCAGAAATTTGCTACATTTAAAATAGATATTTTCTGACATGGTAAAGTCAGAAATTTACAAGAAAAATACTCATAAATTTATGAGGAAAAAAACTCTCCAGGTTTGAAGTATCTGTGTGTTTTAGTTTTTAAACTAGAGCAGATTAAAGATGCTCAAGGTAGTGAAAACAGGTGGAATCACCCTTTAGCCATTCCTGAAAACGTCAGCGTTTTTACGTCTTAAATTTACGAGTTTTTTTCTTATAAATTCCTGAATTTACCATGTCAGAAAATATCCAGTTTAAATATAGCAAATTTCTGTCGTTAATTACGGAAATTTCTGAGTTTTTTCTCGCAAATTTGCGACTTTTCAAAATAAGAGAATTTCCTGTTTTTTTCTCTCGAAAATTTCTGAAATTAATGTCAGAAATTCTGATTTTTTTCTAGCAAAATTGCGACTTTTCAATGTAAGAGAATCGCCTGTTTTTTCTCAAATTTCTGAAATTAATCTCAGAAATTCTGAGTTTTTTTCTCAAAGATTTGCTCCTCCTTTTTTTTCGTCTGCAACGTGGCCCTAATACGCCATCGTATCTGTTTCATATTCAGATTGTGATTTTTTTATTTACTTTTATTTAACTCAGCGAATCCCTTTGAGAACACGGACCTCTGTTCCTGTGAGGCAACAGCGCTAACCGTTAATCCACTTTGCTGCCCTATGTTTGCTGCGACATTAAATTTTTAGCAGTAGTTTGTGTGACTGTTAGTTGGAGACAGTTTTGTAGATGAACCACAATAACAAGATGCTCACCTCGGGGAGTCAGACTTACCGATAAACTCAGACACGTTGCTTGCAGTTTTGGCCATGTTGATCTCCAGCATATAGTTTGCATGGCTACTGTAACCAAGCAAGTCTGCGACCTTTGACCTAAGTTGTATAAGCTGTTCAAGGATCGCTGTGTTTACCTAAAAAAGAAAGAACAATATTTTATATCATATCACCCAAAACCTTCCATGTCAGAATTTTAAACTAGAATCATATTTTAGTTGAGAAACAACAGTTTTAACTGCTTTGGTCAAACCTTGTAAATGATGACAAGAGAGATCTTGTGCAATTCTGCGGGACGCGAAACTTTCTGCTACTTTTTTTTGCACTTACCTGTCATAATTATTGTTTTCTTCTTTGATTAAACTGCAGCAGCTGTGCAACGTGAACACAAAGTGTAACTCACCTCTTTGCACCTGCTGTGAAAAGCTGTTTCCACCTTCCTCCTCGTCTCAGGGTTGTGACACCTCTTCATCAGTGGGTAGTAATGAGGATACTCTAGTGTCACTTTATATTTTCCGTCTGCTGTTCTCTCCAGACTGTTAAGGTAGCTGTCAGCAAGTCCACCTTTAAAAGAGGAACAAAACGAGTGCAAAACAACTCAAGTTTTTTTTGTTCTAATCAAGCCGTCACTGAAGCAGCAAAGAATCCTACCTAGTTCTTGTTCTGAGAAAACCAGGAATGTATTGTCCTCATTCAGATTCTTGTTGAATTCGATGGAGAGCTCGCTGATAAGCTTAGAGCTTCTTTTAACTTCCTTTGAGAATGAAAAGGACACAGCAAGAACGTCAACATCTGAACATTTTTCATTTGTTTTCTGTCCTGTGACATGCAGGACCGAGCAGGCTGAATGTCATATCTGAAGAGCAGCACCTAAAACTAGAGAAATTGCATTTCCTGCGAAAACGCTAGTGTGAATGCTTCATGCTGCAAACTTAAACTGAAAGCTGCTGAAATTGAGCTGGAAATATTTAATAATAAAAGTGAGCACACTTTAAAAAGCTGAAAGAAACAAAACAGTAAATAGGAGCACATATCTAGTTGGAAACAGAAAACAGCTAAAAGCTAAGATCTAAAATAGCTAAATATAGCTGAAAACATCTGCAAGAATCATAAATAGCATAAGGTAGCAGAAAAAGGCATAAAAAGTAAAATAAAGCAAAAGAATAGTAGAAAGAAGCAGATCTATAGCTCAAGTAGCATAAATAAGCAAAAATTAGCATAGAATAGGCTAAAGGTAGCAGCCACAAATTGAAATTAGCAGCACACAGATAGAAAAAGTGTTGTAAAAATTGTAAAACTAGCAGAAGAATTGCATGTGTGTACAAAAAAGTGATAATTATTAGTAAAATGGCAAAAAAACAGCTGAAATTTCCAGTAAAACAACTAAAACGTAGCTGGAATTTAAATTAGCATAAGGAAGCATAAGGAGGACAAGTTTGCTGAAGTTTTCATAAAAAGTTTTAATAGCTACAAACAATGTGTATTTAGCTTAGAAAAGCTAACTTTAGCTAATAGCAGCTAAATATTAGTTAAAATTTCAGCAAATATCTGAACATAGCAGAAAGCATCTGCATTAACAGCAGAAATTAGCAGAAAAAAAGCACAAAAAAGTAGAAAAAGACAGAAGAATAGCAGAAATAAACAGAATCTTAGCTGAAATAGCAGAAACATAGCTAAAATTAGCACAAGAATGTGAAAAAGAGCATAACCAGAACAAAATGTGTAAGGTTCTGTAAAGATTTAGAAATATTTTAAAGGAGTTTAAGGATGTTGAAACCAGCTCCATTCATTTTCAATGGCAAAAAAGTGGCTAAAAAATTGAAATAACTAAAAAAAAGTGTAAAAAGCTGAAATACCAAAAGTCATAGCACCCCTCGCATGAATGAGCTGAACGTTTGATATATGAATTGTTGAAACAGCTAAAAATTGTGGAACAAGTTAGATGCCGAAAAACGTACTTAAGAAAAAAATTATCTCGATTGGAGACGTGGATTTCAACACACAAGGTAATGAAACCAATAAGATCAAAGCTAAAATAAAACCTTCCGGTATAATTTAACTGCCTTTTATATCACTTTTGTAAGAAAATGTCTGTAGTTTCCCAAATCGTATCACAAACTGTTAATAATTTACCTCCTGTATATCTTTAGACAGGTGCAGTCCCTTCCTCTGACCCAATCTAACAAGTCTGTCCAAGAATCGCTTTTCTTCAGCAGAAAGATTGTCTTGAAGGTTTTCCTGGGAAGACAATCATTTTAGTAACTTCTTTGCATCACAACATAAATAAACTAATATAGAAAGTTAACCACCACTTGTGAAGTTAAAAGGGATGTATTATGCAAAATGAAACTTTTTAGCCATTAAATACATGTTACTGGTGTATTTGGAGTCTCTAGGAGTGCAGGAAATTTCAATTTAGTTAATGACAAGGGTTTAGACAAAATGTTGCACAATGTGGAAAGTATGCGTTAAAGTAAATTTAACCTCAATATTTGTAAAATATACAGCTTTTCTTGTGTTTCGCATTGTTGGTTGGGACGGCCATCTTGAAATAGTTTGACTCTAAAAGTTCATCAGTTTTACATATACGTACATCAAATGAATACTTTAAGAATTAAAAAGGTCAACAGATATTGTGGAAGAATGACAATCCTGACTTCAAAAGGTTAATGACGACATTTTAAACAAAGGCCTTGCTGTTTTTGTGTTGGTTAAAGAAACTTATGTCCTGATGCTCTGAATGCTAAACGATGTGGATTTGGGTAGGTGTAATGCTGCGTTCACACCGAACGCGATTTCAGCTTCAAAATCGCAGCCAACGCTTCAAGTTGGACGCTTTTGCACTTTGAGGTCAGACGCAGGACAGCTCTTGAAGCGCTGCATGGCAACAGCCCCTCCCTCCTCTGTCGGGCTCTGTTTAATGTCGGACGAGGAAGTGGCTTTGCTTTATTTACAGAGAGCAAGAGCATGTCACGTTCATCAGATAATTAATTCATAATTAATTCACCAGATAATTCAGAGACATTCTAAGTTTCATCACCCAGGAGCTGCGGGAGAGGCTCACAGCTCGCTTTCAGGACTATTTTTGTCCCGAGTCCAGTCTGATGAGCCGCTGCCACGCATTGGTGCGGATATCTCCTGTCAGGACACCGACTGCTGGCACTCGATTTCAGCTAAAGAGCTCCTCTCCGTCTGTTTCAGGTTAGTGGACATCATTCAGTAAACTGTCCCATCGGGAAATATGTCGCTACGTCACACAGTGGAGTCTCTCTGATTGGTTCGAGATGCAAAAGTTCAGATTTTCTAACTTCAGCAATTTGCCCATCAAGCACGTCGAACGCTCAGATCGTTCAAATCGCGCTGCTCTAATCGCGCTTGAGGCGCCGCAGCACTTCCCGACGCTGCTTGAAGCGCGTCCACCATAGACTTTGTATGTAAACCTTGATGCTCCTGATGCTGAAATCACGTTTGGTGTGAGCGCACCATTAGTGTAGACATGAAGCGTTCTACCTGCAGGGCAGTAATTCGCTTGAACACGTCCTCCCTCATGCTGAGCTCGACATCAAACTCCGACAGCTTCTTATCTGCCGCCGTGCTCGCTGATCGGACTTTCTTATCGGAACAAACATGCTGGGGGAAATCTAGAACGTGGCGTGATGCTAAGAAGCAGGGGAAAAAATCACAAACAAACATTAATTTTTAATTCACTAAACATCACGGTCATGGGGAGCTAACGCCTATCTTCAAAAGTCACCGTGTAAGAGACCAGGGATACCTTTGACAGGTCTCCAGTCCATCACAGGGACACATAGAGACAAACAGGACTAACAAACATTCACACTCTCATTTTGAGCTAGGGACAATTTTGTTACCAATTTACCTGACATGATGTTTTTGGTCTGTGAATGGTGACCGGAGTACCCAGACAAAACCTGGGGAGAACAGGTAAACTCCAAACCTGAAGGTGTCAGGACGGGAGGTGAGCTCCTTGATTTAAGGCGACAGCTCTAATCACTGCTCCACCCTCTCACCAATTCTCAAAACACGTTAAATTGTATTAAAATTACAAGGATGTTGCCAACAAATCCCAATGAACTGACAATATGTCATTGATTTCAGTTCCTTTGAACAATAAGCTCTGTGAAATAATAAATGCCTTTCGAACAATTAAGAGATTTTAATGTTTAAAAAGTATAAGGAAATATAGTCTAGTAGGAAGGAGGGGGTCCCATGCACCAGAAAGATATATTTTTTAACCTAACTTTTTGTACTCCTTAAGGTGTCTAGTAAATGGATTGTGTTGGCCCCCGAGCAAATTATTGTCCCATATATGTTTCTATTGACCATCTTTAATGGCCGACCTGGATTTTCCATTGTGAATAATGAAAACTTTAAATCAACGTAGCTCCTAAACTATACATCTGACAGACAACATTCACCCCATTTTATTTTTGTCTTTTCATGGGTAATTTGTTGAAAAAAGATTCCTATGATTAGATCATGTTTGATGCATAATAGCTGGAGTAAACACAAAAAAATGCTAAAAATTTGCCTAAACCGAATCGCAGGAACTTCTCCCTGTACACCCTATTGATATTTTTTTCAAAGCTTTGTATATTTATAATCTTCAACATGCATAGTAAACACAAGTTGATGATATCCACTTGAAATTTTGTCACATGTATGTTTATTGTGCCATTTTGCTTGCCATCCTGGATTTCCACAAATGCAAAAAAGAGAATGTAAAATCAACTTATTGACTTAACTAGACATTGTGCAGAGGTAAATGACCCCAGTTTTGGTTCCATTTTGGAATGAGGAATTAATAGAGATGGGTAGTGACATGACTGGAGGATTTATGAAGCATTGTCACCCAAATAAATAGAAAAATTATGTAAAATTAATAGTCGTACATTTACAATGGCATTTCCATGGCAATCTCAGCTTTTCACGATGATGTGTCAAGTCGGCCCGCTTCATGTATGGCAATTGTGATAATTTCTAACTACAAAATGGTTTATAGGCTACACGTATTTTTTACTTAAAAACAGTTTGCCAGGATTTGATTTTGTCAGGCATTTTGGATGTCGACACACATTTGCAAATTTACAAGCTAGCATTAGCACTGGCTCTAAGCACAAAGTATCAAATTCTAAACTACACCCTTTAAATTATTCTGGCAATTTGTTGTAGGCATTGGCATTAGGGTTTAGACAGTTATTTAATTTTCATAAGTTTGAAATGTTGAAAAATAAGGGATGTTAAAAATTTCTATAAATATAGGCTGTTGCTAAAAATGCCAAAGAAACACAAGAAAGAAAATAATGGTGAGTATAAACAGTTTGATCCAGCAAAAAAGAAATCCAGGAGAGATGAGATTTTCTGTTCTCTCAGTCCACAAATTATTACTGGTGAGGCCAATAATGTGTTTCATCTTGAGTGGGACAATCTGAAAAAAATAACTGCAAACATCCATGGCTCCAATGTGGGTAACTGGACTAGTGGGATCATGATACAGGAGGTGAAAACTGGATTTGATGTTCACAACTCTCTGGAAAATCAAATAAATTTTCCTCTCTATGAACGGAAAAAGACACGCTCTTTGAAGGTAGATACACCTGAAACCTTAAACTCCTTCTGTATCTATAACCGAACTGGACCCAAGTTGAGGGCAGCTGTGGTGTAGTGGTAGAGCTGACTTGGGACCAGAAAGTCAGAGGTTCAACTCCCCACCATGCCCACATGTCGTGGTGTCCTTGAGCAAAAGACCCAATCACCAACTGTTCCCCAGCACTCACATAGCTGCCTGCTGCTCCACTTGGGTGTTTCTCATGTGTGATGGGTCAAATGCAGAACACAGATTTCATCCTTGCATGTGAACATGCATTGATGAGAAATAAAGCACCTTTACCTGAAGGAGCAGTTTTTAATCCACAAACAACATAGTCTACTCAAACTGCATCCAAGAGTACCATGTCTGGTTACTTGTCCAAGTGGTGGGGAGTAGTGGATTAAAGCAACTTGTTGCAGGGTTTGTATCAGCTACTGGTGACAAACCCCCTGAAGATCTACCATTGACTACTTCACCCCAAACAACCAGCATTTCACAGAGTACTCAGTCATGATACAGGAGGTGAAAACTGGATTCCTCCATGTAGATCTCCTCTAGAGCAGTGATGTTTTGGGGCTGTGGCTGGGCAACATAAACTTTCAACTCCCTCCAAAGGTTTTCTATTGGGTTGAGATCTGGAGACTGGCTAGGCCACTCCAGGACCTTGAAATGTTTCTTACAAAGCTGTCAAAGATGTCACGATAAGGGTGACCCCCCAAAATGTCTTTGATCTCGAACTGTAGATTGCATAACCCAAGGGGGTTATACCAGG